GTGATTCTCCTCCGGCAATCCGAGAGATTCACCTTCAGCCAGTGACAGTGCGACTAGTGACAGCCAGATGGGCGGATGGCCGGATGGGCAGGTGGAGCACCCGGAGAAGCCCCATTTGGCCACATCATCCATCAGTTTGGTTGGAATGTGTGTAAAACTTGGTTCAAAGGCTCAGGGACTCGCGGATATTCAACCGTTGTTACATTCCGCCAAAAGACTTAAAGATCTATTTGGAAAGGGTTCCCAAAAATGAAGTTCAATTAACAATTCCCTATTTATAGAAATTTAAAAATATTTTATTGCCAGTATAATACACAATATATAATATGTTTATCTATCCACTCGTCTTTCAGAATTTTAAATATGGATTATATATGAAAAGGTGTCTCTATAGAGAAAACAAATTTTAAAATGTTTCAAAAATTAGCCATCCATTTTAAAGATCCCCATGGTATCCCAATAATTAGCGAGCGATCACTGTATACACATGCCGTTCAGAGATATCGCAAAACTGATCGAAAGTTGATTCATTGCGTGCAATGAATGAGAGACTCTTCAAAGGAATTCGCCCGAAAGGCGATATCGATACGGAATGGAAAAGCGGGGGAGGTTGAGGTAAGGGAAATGGAAATGGAAATGCCGTCGTGCATAATAATAGTTTATTCGGAAATCTAATGATCAATGGGAGATAGCAATGGCTCCCCATGGCCAGTGCATTTCATTTCCCATTGGGTCGGCAGCGCTCCCTTATCAACTTCATTCATTAGAGCAACTGTCAGTCTGAACAGCCCCAAAATGGCCAGGGAGATGGGATGGTATGGGGGTTCTCCTTGGGAGGGAGTTACTCGAATTGGCAGAATTGCATTGCACGCAATCAGCTCGCTCGTTAAATATAGCACACTTCAATCAGAGGCAGTGCATCTTGCGACTCTTCTTGCCGGCGAGTATTCGAGTTCGAGTTCAGTGCTGTTGCTTCATTCATTCGCTACACGGAGAAAAAAGCATAGTTCCAGAAGATTATATTGAAATAAATAACCCTAATTTCTTTTATATCACTTCGTACATTAAACTTAGTTTTACTATAACTCAGATAGGGTATACCTTGTTAAAAATGTTAAGGGTTTGATAAAGAATAATTTTTGAATAGGTATATTTAGAAATTAATATATTTCTATAATGTTATTATTATCATAGTTTTGGTATCATCCATATACATTGGCAGATAAATTAATATGATATAATCACATAAAAATGGTATTCTAGGTATTCATTTTTCGTAAAGAGTCTTGAGAAACAGACCTTTTAAACCATTTTGGGTATATTTTTTCCGGTGATCCGCCCCAAAGTGTGTCAATCGAAGCGAGTTTCGAGCGAATTGGCAGGTCTCGTGCAGCAAGGCTTATCTGGGGATAGTGTGGATCCGAATCGGAGGCCCCCCCTTTGCGCCCTTTGCTGGTCTGCGGTCGCCCCGCCACTGATTACAGGCACAAAAAAAAAATGTCATGTATTATTTGCCTTTATTTCTTTCGGTTTCATTCTCTTTTTCTTCTTGTGCCTCCCATTTGTTTGTGCTCCTCCTTTTTGCAAAGGCCCGGATGACCCCGAGAGCCCCGGTCGATCCGCTGGGTTATCACCAGCCCCAGCCCCTCGCACCATATAGTACTGTATAGTATATAGACCGACTGTTTGTAATTTGCGTTTGAGCGCGCGAATTATGATTGAATAATGAAATGCCACAATGGGAATGGGCAATGGGCAATGGGCAGTCAGTCGCTGCCTTCAATTATGCAAAACGGTTACTGCACTTTGCATTAATTAACAAAACGGGCAAACAAAAAGAAATTCGCGCAGCTGACACAATTTTGCACGTGCTGAGTTAACCCATTTTATACGAGGCTAGGAAACGATTTCGTACAAAGATTAAAGTCATTGTTCTTTCGAAAATATTGAAAACGTTTAACTATCTATAAATAGTTTCACTGTGAGTTTCTATTTGTTGGGCAGAAATTTAATATAATATAATCTAATCTTATAATGTATAATATTGACATTTCCAGATCTAGCTTTACGCCTAAGCTTTAATAAATTCTAAAACAATGTTTACAATACTGATTGTTCATTGGAAACCGAAAATTATACCTTCTTCAGTTTTAATAAACAAGTTTTTATACAAATAGGTAAGCTAGTTTTTTTTCTTAGATATTTTTTGGTTCCATAATACCATAATATATGGTGATCTATTAAAAATATCTGAAATTTGTAGTTTAATATTTTTAGGTACCCCTATATCTTAGTGATACTTTCTGAAAAACACCTTTATAAAATGGGTTAATTTAGGATAGATTCTTGAGCTCAGCTCGATCAGCTGTGGACTGTGCCGGCGGTCTAAAGGGTTGTGAAAGATCTTCAGAGGAGAGGAGATTTTAAAATATTTTCCGACTTCCCTCCAGTGCGAGTGAAAATATTTTGCAGTTAAATTTAAATTAAGTACACGGGATGGTGTGTGTGTGTGAGTGTGTAGAGTGTGTTTATGTGGCTGCAACATTTGATGCGCGCCTTCCGTTGTAAATTTTCATCGTAGGTTGTCGGTGAGATGCCGCCGCCGCCCGCAATGTTTGTGCAGCAGCAACAGCAACAGCACAGCAGCAACACATCGGCGACGGCAGCAACATTCTGTTCTGTTCTGTTCTGCTTTTTTTTCCTCTTTTTTCATTTATTTTTTTTCAGTTTTTAGTAATTTAAAAATAAGTGCGCCGACGGCGGCCCCAAATAGCATCCGCAAAATGCAGCAGAAGCATCGTCGTTCGTTTGCCGCTGGATGGCCATGTGTGAGTGTGTGTGTGAGAGTGTGGTCTAGTGTGCGTGAGTATCTGTGTGAGCAGCCCCAATCCGAAGCCAAACGAGAATCGCGTTCTGTTCTCGGGGCCTCCGGTCGGTCCGTGTGCGCTCGAGATAAACAAACTGCCAGTTCACTATCAATCAAATACCGGAAACAGCTGCTTTAGTTTTGCCATAGCCATTTGGCACACCAATACAGAGGGGCCCGAAACACACACACACACAGCTACAGTACAGATCGGGGGAGAAAAGGGATCATAAGTCTGTAGTATCATATGATATGATGTGAAGGTTTCTCCTCGAGCAGCATCTTTCCAGCATAACTTCTATTAATATTTAGTTAGGATAGTTTTCTTTATAAACCATCATTAACTTCAAACAGTTCCCACCTAGAACTTCCAATAAAACACATCGAGATTGTTATATTTTTTAGTATTATATGATTTTTTTATTTTGTAGTTTTTAACGGAACATACATTCTAAAAACATTACATAAAGTTCTTCTGGTTCTCCGGGGTTTCGCACTCAAAACCCCCACATACTCTCATCCTACTCATCTCATCCTCCTTTCTACTCAGTTTATTTTATTATAATGAAATGTACAAATAAAATAAATATTCATTATGCATAGCTTTTTTTGTATGTATAGAGTGCCTTAAATATTAATATTTATCTTTATCGTTATCTTTATGCGTGTATAATTTTTTCTGTTTTGTTGTAGGTCTGCGCTTCTTGAATTTTCATTAACGGCTAGGCTTTAAGGAGTTTTTCCAGCTTTTAGTTTGTTTTTGGGGGTTTTTCTTTTTCCTTTTTTGTTGCGTTTTTTTTTTAATGTTTAGAAGTTAGGAGTTTTAAGCATAGTTTTCTGGTTTTTGTATATCTAGGCGTATATATATAGTTATATATAGTACATATACAGATTACATATATAGAATATATAGTAATGTGTTTTTAGTGTTTAACATTAATCTTTAATTTACTTTTTTCGCTTGCTTCTTGCTTTTACGTGTATAAATTTGTTTTAAGTTGCTAATTTGCCACTGTTTTTGTTGTCATATTTCATATGGATATTCTATACAAAAAATGTTTGTTTCGTTTGTATGTATTTTTGCTGCATTTAGATGTGGGGTTTATCGTTACACTTAAGTTTTGCTTGGTTTTTTGTTTTGTTTTTTCTATTATTTGGAATTTGCTTGCATTTTGTATCTCGCATTTCGCTTAAAAATTTCATTATACGTATATACAATCCTGCTCACATTTTTGGGGCTGCTGGCTGGAAACACTACGAGCCCACCCGATCTTTAACTATAAAATAAGTTCATAAGCAACCGATTTCGTTATCCCATATTTTCGCTCCTAAGATTTGTTCCGGCTCCGTAGTTGGTAAAGTAAACTAACTGACTTTTGGTTTGCAGTACATCTATATCGATATCTAAGCACATTTAGACTGGTCTATAGGTTGCTCTAAATTTATCGAAAAGTTCATTGCCCTCAACACACACATACACATACATACACATACATATACATATCAATTTTAAGATTTAAATTCGTAAAGTTCTACAATATTTCTTGTGTAATTTTTTCGGTTTTTCTTTTCTGTTCTCTCTACAACATCAAAAATGGACTGGACTTGGTATATATGTATAATATTTGACTAATTTACGCCATTGAATATTTCTCTAAAAGTTCTCCCGTGTGTGTATATAGGTATATATAATATGGTGTTTTGTTACGCTTGCCCCAAATTGTTCAGTTTTTCAGTTTTGTATATGAAAATAATAAAAACTTTCGCCCGTTTACTTTACATTCGTGGAAAATTCATTGGAATTATTTCGCATACAACTATTTATGTTATATAAAGTAAGAATTTGACTTAGAAATTGAACATTGAACTGAAGAGTTAATTAAGCAAGTAAAAACAAAATCAAATAATACAAAAAAATCGTTCGAAAAATAATTCCTAATCGCATTCGTCGTTTCGTCAGTTTGTTTTATTTTATTCCTTCCACTCGTCGCCACTCGTTTTGTTTTTTTTAAGCAAAAATTATTTTTTAAATAACATTTCTAATAATTAATAATTATCTGTTTGCAGTCTTTGGTTATTTAATTTTTCTTTCTTTCTTTCTATCTTTCCTCTTTTTTTTTATATATCCTTTTAAATCATATATTAAATATTTTCCGTATATATATATATATGGGGTATGTGTTCACGATCCATTCTTTTGTGCCTGAGGGTTTTTTGCTCGGGGAAAAAACCGGGCACAAGAAGAAACGGAAGCGGGAACCTCCTTAGTAATCGGGACTGGAGTCCAGGAGTCGCTTCTCCGGTGTGAGGTCACCCTTGCGCAGGATGCTCCTGGCGGCACTGCATCCATGCTCCATGGCCTTGCCATTGCTCTGGTTGAGTCCGCCATCCGTGATGCCGCCGGAGAGGCTCACTCCGCCGCCCAGCCCGCTGCCATTCACGCCCAGCGGCACAATGGGCAGCATGCTGCTGGTGGAACCAATGCCTCCGGCTCCTCCTCCCACTCCCGCTCCCATGCCGTGTCCACCTCCGATGCCCTGACACCGGCAGCCACGTCCCGCGAATCGCCCATAGCACTTCTCGCACAGCTTCATGCAGCCCCTCATGGGCCAATAGAACCACAGGCAGGGCAGGAAGATGGACAGCGCTCCAAGCCAGCCCCAGCGTTGGGTTCGCTTGTATGGGCCGCAGGAGCAGGGATTGTCCACGCACGGTGTGCCATTGCCATCGTCGCAGTCCAGGTCATTATCCCGGGCACAGTGGTAGAACAGGGCCTTGGCGCAGCACAGACAGGAGGCATAGTCGATGACCGACTCGGCGCTGCACAGGCACGTCTTGTTGCACACCCACGTCTGGGGCAGCGGCCTGGGGCTCTGGCACTGCTCGCACCGGCACCGGCCGCACCGTGGACACACAATCGGATTCTGCTGGCTGGGATCGCCGGTCATCACCAGGGGTCCACCGCCGCCATTTCCACCCAGGCCACCCTGCTGCAGCAGCTCCTCCAGCGCATGCATGTGCTCCTTTTGCGTCCCAACTCCCGGCTGCTTGGTGATGATGGGCTGGCTCAGACCCAGACCCAATCTAGTGGTGGGTGGTGGTGCTGGCTGCTTCGAGGCGGGTGGTTTGTTAGCGGTGCTGTGTTGCAGGTGCGAATGTAGTAAGCCATCGGTGTGATCGCTGCCAACGGACGTCGCCTGCGTCGTCGTCGTCGCCAGTCGCGCATGTTGCTGTTGCTGCTGCTGCTGTTGCAGTTGCAGGTGTTGCTGCTGCTGCTGCTGTTGCAACTGCTGCTGCTGATGTTGTTGCAGGTGCAAATGCTGATTCCGCTGGGGCAGCAGCAACAGGTGGTGGGTGGTCGTCTGGCCATTATCCTGCTGGCCAGCCGGATGCTGCGACCGCGTCGCATGTTGCAGCGGCGTGTCCACATACTCGTTGGTTAGCCTTTCGGATTCGGGTCGCGGTTGCGCCAGCGTGACGGGGGAGGCGGGCGGCTGGCCCAGAGCGTTGCTCACCGGCTCAGCGCTTTGGAAATGACTAAGGAAGTTGTTGTTGTTGTTGTTGTGGTTGTTGTTGGTGCTGACCAGCGGTATGGGTGCCGGCGGTCGTCGCCTCGTGAAGCTCGAGGATGATCCCGAAACCGAACCCGATCCCGAAACACTGATCCCCGTGGCCGTCGTCGAGGAGGCCGTACTGCTGTTCCGGCTCAGGCTGCTGGGACGCTGGGGCAGAAAGGTCAGATGGTGGATCTGATAGTCGTCGAAATCAGTCGGCGATGCGGGTATTATCGATATCGTATTGTTGTTGTTGTTGTGGTTGTTGTTGCTCGCGACGGCGCTAATACTAAGTTGCTGCTGTGAATTGTTGTTATGGATTGCTGTTGCAGGTGCTGCAAATGATACAGATGATGATGCAGATGTGGCTCCCACTGATGATGGATGATGGTCGACACCACTCAACGTCGGCTCCGGCGCCCTTGGTCGATGCACGCGCGGTAATAACTTCGGGGGCCGGGGTGGCGCCAAGGGATCGCCGCCATTTCTGCGATCCATGTAGTGTTGTAACCAGGACTCCTCCCCCAGCTGCACTCCTCCACTTCCGCTCCTCAGCCGCTCGTCGCTCCACCTCGAGATCGAGATCGCTCCCCCACCTCGAGATCCGGATCGGAGATCCTCAATGCCGCCGATCGTAGTTGCTGCGCCCGGACTCAGCTCGATTTGCCTTCATCCTTTTGCAGATTCAGCCAGCTCTTTCAGATTGCTTTCTGTAAGAAGAGGAAAAAGGAGAGGAAATTAGTATATAGAGTATAATATTTATCTTAATAAATGGTTAAAAATAAATAGGAATATATAATCTAATATGATATAACAATCTATAGTTGGTATAATCTATAATCTATATAAAAATCTCCAGATCCGAAGTATTTTTTTGAAAATGTTGATTCATTTATTTATATCTTCAAGCTGTTTTATAATTATTTTCTATTTGCTTACCATTTCATTTTTATATTTAGAAAACCCACCTAAGATAAACAACGCCTAAAAGTAATCCACGTTTATTTATCGACCCCCAAAGAAAGTGCAAGAAGGCCACGCGATTCGATTTTGCAGTTTTCGCCACCATTAAAACGGCACGTAGATGGGTTCGCCATGCTTATGGATAAACTCAAAATAAATAAGAGCCCAGAAATAGTAGAAATGTGGAAATAGTCCAGCACGAGGGCGTGCCTCGGGGTCCAAAGTGCCAACCAGATGCTTTTGTTTGGATTAAATGGCCAAAGTGAAGTGAACTTTTCTTCGTCGACGGTTTTAATGTTTGTAATTAATTTCGCAGCTAGGAAACCAAAGTGAGAGAAGGTCGCCCCTCATATTTACTATATGTGTGTACCAGATAAAGATGGTTTTATTTTTTATTTTTTGTTCGGCATGACTTGTGTGTAAACATCATAGGGCACACAGGCTTTATGATTATTATTATTATTGTTATTTCGGTTCATAATGCTTTCGGGTTCACTCGAATCGGCGGGACATGATGTTTCGGAGATTGTGTTTCGTGGTTTCTAGGGAACTGGGCTTGGCCCCACTGCTAAATGTTTAAGATCAAATTGCTGGAGACGAGAAAGAGCGTATTTCGTAGTACTATATGTTTTTTTTTTCCTTATTTTTTTGGATCCGCCGCCGCTTGCGCCCTCGACACCGCTAACCCCCATTATCGCTGCCTTAATTGCTTTCACCCCGCCAATCTGATTCAGCCGTAATATTCAAAACCCAAAATTCCATTCAGCATTCGGTTCTCCTCTCGCTTTCCACTTATTTCCGCTCCGCTCCGTATTACGTAGGGCCATAAAAATAAATGGAATAACTTTCATAATTGTTCGATTTGGCATATCAAAAAGAAATTAGCGATTCGAATTCGGAATGGGAATGAGAATGAGAACCCCGAATCATTTGCATGTGTATGCTCTGAATATAGAAATGTTTATATATATATACCGATCGAGAGCGAAGAACGAAGCGAATGTATAAAGAAAATGATGCTAATTGAACTTTGACTGAGTACATTTTTTTGGCGTTGATGGTGATCATGTTAATTATGGCACGATCGCTATCGCGATAGCGGCCCATCTGAAATAAACCATTTTTATGGCGAAACAACTGTATTTTTATGGCATGTTCTTTGGGATTTATAGCGATGCAGCAGTTAATCCGGTCAACGCGGCGTATGAGTAATGCGATCGATGCCGCGTGGATCGAAAAAGCCCAGAAAGCCAGACGTCGCGTTTAGATAAATATTTGTTTACACATAATTAAAGGCAAGGCACGTGGTGCTCCCCTGGCAAATAAGGAAATACAGGAAATTAATAAATGGCGTCGCTGTTCCATAAAAATTAATAAAAGAGCCAGGCACGCAGACAGCTGAGTGCAAAAAAATAGAAGTAAAATCTGTAAAGTTACCTTAAAACACCTTTAATTTAATAGAAAACAAAGTAATACAAGAAAAACCTTTGCAAGTATTTAAAATTATATTTTATCTAAATTTTTTTATTTTTTAAAGCCAAGTAATGCCATTATTATCTTAACCCCCACTGTATATATGCGCCTATATCTGACGATAAAAAGCCCAACGAATTATTATTATTATTGTGCCGCATAAAAATTGTTTTTAGCGCCAACGAAAATTTCTACGCCCCAAAAGAAATAAATACAGGGAACGCATATATGCACGGCTATAGGTATGCGAGTGGGTTAAGTGTGTGCTTTTCGGGGGGTATAAAAATTAACACAAACGCCCACTTATTGACGTCATGTCCGGTACTCAAAAACAATTTTCGAGAATGATCACAATTGGGAAAAACAAAATAGAAAATCAACGAAAACACACGTCGTGGGGCGATTGGAGGAGGGGTTTTTCGGGTTTTTCTTCTTTTTTTTCGGGCAGTGGCAGTGGATCGCCACTGATTGCCAATAAGAAAATCAGAGGTCCCTCCTCTTTATATATTTGGCAATCGACTTTTCTTTTGGGGGAGGGAAGAAAACTGTTAGCGTCATTTTTCGTTCTTTGATATACAAAATTCTCGGTAGTAAACTATTTATATGCTTTTTTAAGAATGAATGCTGAAGAGAAAGACTTTGATGTTATAGATATAGGATATAGTCCAATGGATGACGTTGCAAATCGAAGTTGAGTTCTTTATTATCCATAAATTCCCAACAAGTTTGAGCCAGTAAAATGCCAATTAAAAGGTGTAAATGCGTGCCATAAAAAACATATTCAAATTGCTCAATAAAAAATAAATAAACATAATTCAAAGTTTATTTTTTTCGGCTGCTTGACGCAAAGCACCAAAGTAATGCCAAGATTTCGATTTCATTCTTAAATTAATTGGGCACAGCAGATAGAATACAAAAACATTGAACGTAATTTCAACAACAATTTTGTTTGCTTTTTTGCGTTCACTCGCTTATTTTTAATTGCGCTAAAATTCTTTTTCCTCGCTGTTTTTATTTTATTTTTTTTTTTTTTTTCGTTTTTTTGTTTTTATTTTTACGTTTGGGCAAACTTTGACCTTGGATCGCAGCGGTGTCTGAATAAAAAATAAATTATTTCGCTGGCAGGGAGTGTGATTCAATGGCGCACGAAATGTGAAATGTGGCATTTGAAACGTTTTCATTAATAAGTGAAAATACGAGGGGGGATTGAAGGTCTTTGTCGCCCGGCTAATTCATTCAAACGATTCGAGGAGAAGAGATTCGCCTTTGTTGGTTTGCGTTTGTTTGTTTGTTTGGCTGTTTGCACAAACAAGTGTCACTGCCAGTTGCGATTTAAATAAAATTATTTAAGGCAGACAGACAGCCCAACAATAACAGCAACCACACAAAGCGAAGCGTTTTTATATAAAAATAAACTCTGGCAAAAATCAAATGCAAACAGGTTTTATTTTAATTTTTTTCCTCGCTGGGGCTGCCATTCTGGTTAATAAGCCGGCGAATAATGTTTCTGGCGACCGAGAAGTCAGATCTTTGCCTTATCAACAGCTACGTTTACCGTTCCAATTCTCAAATTAATTAATAAAAGTTATTGCATGACCCAATTAAATTATTTACAAAAAAAAAACAGACAAAAGTAAACACAAAATAAAGGATAATTAATTAATGCTTTAACTCAAAGGGAATTTTAAATGACATTTTTAAGTGAAAAGAAAACAAGGCAAAACCATGCTAAAATTAATTATAATGAACAAAAATCTTTTCCAAAAAGTTATACATTTTTAGTGGTATTTTAATAAGCCTACATTGTATTAAATTATTTTAGTGCTGATCTAGTGTTTATGGACGCATTTTTGAAGCTGTCAGCAATGACGACACAAAAAGTACGAGTTGCAATTCATTTTATCATGTCTGGAAATCGTGCTTATAATTTAGTGATGTGTAAAAAAATGTTTCAACCTTTTCCAGTTTCAGTTAGTTTTTTCCCCTCATTCTGAATTTGTGTCAAGTTCTGGTATGGAAAAAAATGCAATAAACGTGGAAGTATTCTTTTCTATTTTTTTAGACTCTTAACTTTATTTTAGAATCTTCCATTAATTTATAAGTATACTTTGCGTTCAGCTTGGAATCTCCCGTTTGGGCTACGCTTTTAGAAATATGTTTTGTGAGCCCTGCTAAAAATATGTGCGGATACACACGCTCCGAGGGCAGACACACATGAGTAGATAAATGAAATGCGAAGAGCGACAGATGAAAAACCTACACAGGAAACGCTAATGACTGCAGGCAACTCGGAGGGAACAAAACGCGAATGAGAAAACTGAAACTGAAACGGGAATCGCTTGATGTTGCTGCTGTGCTGTTGCTGTTGCTGGTGTGCTGATGCTGCTGCTGTTGCTGTTGTGGCTGTTGTTGCTGCTGTTGCTGTTGCTGCTGCCACGACAACAACACCAACAGCCAGTCACAGAGCACAGATCATTAAACTATTTAAATGCCCAACCGAACCATATGTTGCAGCCACAGCAGCAGCAGCAGCAGCAGCAGCAACATCAGCCGTCCCAGCAGCAACATCAGCTAATAGTTTTCAAAGCAAATGAGCAGCACATGTGGCAAAGGGCTCACGCACACTCTCTCAATCTCCAGACTCCGTAGTGTGTGTGTGTGTTAATGATATATACACCAAAGTCGGTCCGAATGATAATTATCATAATGATGATTATGTTCATTCTTGTGTCTGGAATGGAATGGTTTTAGCTCGGCTCGGCTCGGGTTTTCCTCTACTTTTATTGAAATCATTGAAGCCAACTCTGGCTGAGATCGGCGGAGTGGAGTGGAGTGTGTGGATTGGAGTGGGGGTTCCTCTCGAGGGGAGAAGAAGCCGAGAAGAGGCAAAAGATCAAATCACCAACAAATGAGCTGAGCCAAGAAGATGGCATCAAACTGGAGGCCCAGACAACGGTCGACCGTTCAGAGATGTCACCGATGGGAACTGGTTCAGGAAATTGTAATGCCCATAATATCGTGTTACATACCTATGGTCTGGGTGTATTTAGTTCTTGTTTATAAACATGAGGTACTTAAAATCATAGGAAATAAATAAAAATAGAAGAAACTTTAGTATTCTGATAATGCACTAAAGATAATTTTGATATTTCCCAAAGATACCCCAAATTAAAAATAGAACTATAATATATCTCATCATACTATCTTGTAATGTGCGTATAATCACAAAATTTAGTAATCAAGAAATATTTTTATTTAGAACCTTTAAGAACTA